TTTTTGTTTTTGTTTTGTTTTTCAAGACAGGGTTTCTCTGTGTGTCGTTTTGGCTGTTCTGGAACTCACTCTGTAGACCAGACTGGCCTCAAATTCACAGAGATCCACCTGCCTCTGCCTCCCGAGTCCTGGAATTAAAGGTGTGCACCACCATCACCTGGATCTCAGATAAATATTTTTAAATGACGTATTCCAGCTGGGTGAGGTAGCCAACAACTACAATTCCAGCACTGGGGACATGGAGAAGGAGAATTGGAAATTCAGCATCATCCTCAGCTATATGGAGATTCCTGAGTTCAAGTTCGGCCTGAGCTTCCCACCAATAAACACAGTAACACACAGGCCCAGGTGAGGGAGTTGTCACTGGCAAGGAGGTGCAGGTTATCCAGGCCTTCTCCTTGTAGCGCCTCATGCTTGCCTATCTCAGTATGCAGGGCAAAAGTAGGAAGTGCTGCGCCCCCTTTCAAACAGCAATGGGATAAACTAAGCAAAACAAAGAGCACCCCCTCCTGGCGTCCCCAGAGGATCACTAGCAGGTTACAGCCTCACCTGCACACAGACATCCATGGGCAAGAACACTTTTCTTTGGCTACCATGATAGGGTGTTGCTCTCAAGCACGTGACAATGCCTTGTGCCTTTCCTATATGGCTTGCAGCATGGTCTGCATGAAGATCCTTCACGCCTAGAATTACAGACACCAAGCATAGCAAATCAACAGAAATAGTACGAGACATCATCTGAACCCAGGAAAGAGTCTTATCCTGTCTGAGATCTGAAAAATAGGATTTACGAGGGAAAGGGTGCCAGGGATGAGCCAACCATCTTCCTGTCTTCCTGCTAGCAGGCGTCAGACCTCTCCTTGTTAGCTCTCACCTTCAGCACGACCTCTCCTTGTTAGCTCTCACCTTCAGCACGCCAAGACACTGAGAATTTCATTAGACTTCATGGGAAACTTAAGTGTTTCATTTTTTTCCCTCAAAACAATGTCATAACTTTACTTTTAGGGTACAGCAGGATAGGCCTGGGACAGTCAAGAGGGACTGTATTCTGGGGTCTGACATAAAGGCAGCTCACTCTCTTCAAATGAGATATTACTATTGTCCTTGGCCCCAATATTCTAACCATAAGATGCTGCCAAGTTGGAGCAAGGTCAGAGGAAAAGTGTCATTTCAAATATTCTTAAAGGAGAAGAAAAGAAAATCTTGTAAATTTGTAAGCAATTTTATTCTATCCCCCCACCATGGGGAAGAATTCTTGACAGGGAGGAAGAAGTACAGCCCTCCAGGTCACAGGAGATGCTGCAGGAAAGGTGAGGCCACCAGCACTACCTGATGTTTAACCTAGAGCATTCTCATGAGTGAGCACTTAGACAAGTCTGCACTCCGAGAGGACTATAGTGCACAGATAATAAAAGGGTTCTCTGTCCTAAGTTTTATTTATTAAAATACAAATGAAATGCCACTACATTTCCCCTTTTTGTCTAAAATGAATAAGGCTATAATTAATATAAGAAAAACTATATACAATAAGTACAATAACTATATATAATATATATGGGCAATAAATACATCAACAATGTCTAGTTCATTTGCATTTGACAAATTAAGAGAAAATACTCCATATCTATCCTTTCTTGGTGAGTCCAAAGTC